ATATAAACGTTGTAAAACTCTATTTTGGTGGTCTAGCCTTCAATTTTTTCATCATTTTAGCGTTTTAAGCAAATAATCAGAGTATTTTTTTTCAATTAGGTGGTATCCAATCACTTTTTTTTAAAATCATGTATTATGACAATGTACCTATTAAGAGAGATGGGGTCGTATGATATCAACTATTCCAGTTAGTTCCAACAAACAATTCATGTTGTGGATTATGAAAATACAGTACAGTACATAGTAATATTTCAAATGTGTATTTATTTTATCATAAATTAATTAGCATGCACAAACACACAAATTGAAAACTATATAGTAAAGTTCATAGTTGCTTTCTGCCGGCGGAACTATGGAGACTCAGTGGTGAAATGTTGCGCCTCAAAGCACAAAGAAATGCTGTAAAATAAGTGATGAATGAATTTGTATTTCAAAAGTTATTCTGATACTCACATCGGGATACCTTTCATAAAAACATTTCGTTATTTGGTATGTTCTCTCATACAGAGGTCTTATGCCTGAAAATACACCAAATATAGTAAAATAGTTTGTATTCCTAATTATCTAAAATATTTCTCTGCCAAGCTGTACATTACATCACATCTGCTGCTGATAAAATTGCAGCAGGTTGAATTTTTTATTTCAGCTATTTTGCCCAGGAAAATAAATGCTAAAAAAATTCCGAATAACTCTAAATGGAACGATGGTAAAGGTTAAAAAATATATTTTTTCAATATCCCGGAAACCGTCAGTATTTCGTTAAAATGAGTTATTACCATTTTTGATTATTATATAATCTTATGATATATACAATCGTGGTGTAAAAAATTGGATAGATATATACGAGCTAATACTTGGTATAATCGTTTTGAAGATAGATGTATTTTAAAAACCTGCAATTTGATTCGCTCAACAATAAAAGATAAGTGAATCATCGGTTCCTACCTGCAGATTCTGCGTGACACCGAGGAAGACCTACTTCCATTTCTCGTTTCAGTTTTGGAGGACACAATACTTCAATTACTTCCATATTCAAAGAACCGTCTTCATTCATCTGAAAACAATCATTATTAAAATGAAATGGTAATTCTTGTATAAAGCTGAAACTTGAAATGTCTAGAGAAATTTCAATAGTTATGACGGGGTATTTATCCCAGGTCTGTTTATTTGACACTATTGATAATAAGTGGATGAAGCTAGTGAAAATGTGAGGTGAACCCTTTACTCTTATCATATCTGGCCATATCTTTTTTTAAGGACAAAACACAAGCACTACAGGAACATCCTCAAGGCGCTCTCAGAGCGGTGCCTGTGCGAAAGTAGCGATCCACATTGATTTGAATCGATGGAAATTAAATTCATTCGGAAAAAAGTTGTCTGGAAGTTTATTCCACATAAACGCAGCTCTCCAGATGAAAGAGTTCTTAAACAGTGAAGTTCGAGGTGTACTAAGGTGAACCTCAGAACGATGAGCAGCCACAGTCCGTTATGTATTTCTGATATGTACCGCTCTTGGTGGCATCACTTTCCGTGAAAGTATCTATAGAAGGAGACAAATCTTCAGCGTTTCTTCGATGTTCCAGGCTATCAAGGTTGCACGTGATGTCGCGTCTCCAATCAGGCGGATGGCTCATTTCTGAATGGAATCCAGCATCTTCAGGGTATGTTTGAGGCAGAGTTCCATACATGAGAACAATACTCCAAAGAAGGTCTGGTCTGAACTTGATAAAGCATCAAAAGTAGTTGAGATGTGTCCAGTTTTCTGGTTCGGAACAGTGTTCCAAGCTTTCGAGAAGCAGCCTTTGCAATTTCAACGACATGATTGTGCCAAGACATATTGGTGTCCATTTAATCCCCAACAAACTTAGCGAAGCAAGAAAACGAAATTGTCTGACCTGACATAATTAGCTCTGTTACGCTAGCAACGCAAAGTACGGAAATCGCATTTGGAAAATGCCAAAATTAGGTACTTTTTAGGTACCGAAGTCAAAAATTAGGTGCTCTGTAACTTACACCGCAACTCAATACTCAAAGTTGCGTTGTTAGCAGTATGTGATGCTAGCAACGCAATGAAAATAATAATAAAATAATGAATGTAAAGGGAACATATTAGGTGCTTATTAAGTGCTAAACGGTGAGGATCGTAAAATTTTCTAATTATTAAACAAAAGCTTCCAATTTCGTTAAACAACAGATCTAAGAATCAGGTCTTTCGAAAACATCACATAACATCAAAGTTTCGGGGTTCCAGTACTTCCTCTCGTTGGCATGAGAGATCGCTTCTGATAAAAAGAGATATTCCAAAGTTACGACTGAATCGGGAGTAGAAGGATATAGAAAATTGATGGGGTTTGTTGAAGCAGTGACTTTGGTTTCTGTAAGTGCAAGGATATGAGGACTATTTGATTGCAGATGTTGGTGCACTGAGTTTATATTTGAGTTGAGTCTTCTGATATTGCAGACATATATTTTGAAGTTGCTAGTGGGCCTCTTAACAACTGCAGTTACCATGCTATTTTCTTGTGGACTGATGTTAGGAAGACCCTGCTGACGGTCAGAAATAGTGGTTTTCGAATAACTTCTGCAGAATGATGTCCTTGAATCAGCCCCCACCCGGAGATCCGATTGGGGAGCTATTTACCAGGTGAGACCAGCATATCAATGAAAAGGAGCATTACTTGCTTATACTTGATAAGTAAAATTCTGAAACCTCTGGCGAAAAATGAATCTATTGAAACAACTTTTCTCTCCAGAACTGTAATACTGTCCTCGAAGCGCATTTTGCTAACCAAGTTAGTGTCATCAGGAGATGACTAAGAGTAATTTCAATCGAATCAACACCTCACATGATGAAGGCAATTGAAAATCCGGACCATAAAATCAATTCCTAGTCGGTGACATAAGTACCATTACCAACAGCCCTCCATTCACACTCTTACGAAATTACAGATATAAAACAGATAAATATTAGGTATCAATAAGGAGCAAATAACATAAGGAACAGTAACAAATACTAGGAATTGATTCATTAACCCTCAATAAGTGAAGTACTGATTCGTCTGAATGCATACCTATGTAATAATGACATAGCCATTTGAATTAGCCTTAGTCATCTCCTGATGATGCCAACTTCGTTAGTGAAACCCGTGTCGAGAGATAGTCTTTTTGTTCTGGTGAGAAAAACATATTTTCAACAGATATTTGCTTATACTTGCAAACTTCAAAGTGAATGTTTCACGGGGTATTACTAAAATTATAAGAATTTGTTTTCTTAAACAAAGGAAATGCTTATCAAATGATATTAATGACTTCGAACGTATGAATATTAAGCTACCATTTTCGTGTGGAACTGTCACAGTTGTGTGGTTTCGAGCAAAAATGGCTAAAATGAGAGTTTTTTGAAATGTCAAGTACTACAAACAGGAGTGGAGTGAAGTGGCTAATGATGAAAGAAATTTCAGACCTGAAACAGAATTGACCCTTCATCACTCAACGTTTTTTTGTTTTTCATGTTTTGTCAATAGGTACTACCTACACATAATAATATGAGAGGAATTAAAATATCAGATATTGAGAATTTTTGTAAGGGCAGAACACAAGCACTACAGAAAAATCCTTAAGGCGCCTGTGCGGAAATAGCGATTCACGTTGGATTTCAATCGCTGAAAATTAAATTCATTTGGAAAAACGTTTTCAGGCAGTTTATTCCACATATATGCAGTTCTTCAAATGAAATAGTTCTCAAACAGTGAAGTTCTAGGTGTAGTGAGTTGAATCTCAAAACGATGAGCGACCACAGTTCGTCGCGTATTTTTGTTATGAACCCATTTTGGTGGAATCAAATGTGCCGAGTCACTTGAACACCTTCCGCTGAAAGAATCTATGAAAGAGAGATAAATCTTCAACCTTTCTTCGATGTTCCAGAGGCACGTTTCGCTAACCAAGTAAGCGTCCTCAGGAGATCGTTATGACTGAATTTGGTGGACATTTTAACCCCCAACAAACTTACCGAAGCAGAAAGCGGAATTGTCTATCCTAACATTATTATATCCGGTTCGGAGACATTTATCTATTTGGAGAAAACCGATGCCTGGGTTATCGTGCCATTGAATTGAACCTGCTTACTTTCAGCCAAATTCGAAATCAATTCTAGATCCTCATTAAGATATGCAACCTCCTTCTGCCGATGAAGATGTGCATCTGCAGCCAATGTCCTGGAATCCAAATGGAATGACAAGACAATTGTGCTGTCGTCAGCAAAGCAATATATTGAATTCTTGATTTTTTCCAGTAAGTCGTTGATATACAATCAAAAGAGAGTTGAAGACAATATGGATCCCTGGGAAACACCAGCGGTGATGGTAAAAGTATTCGAGAGATATCCATCGACGGCCACTTGCAGGGAACATTCTTTCAGGAAGCTTGAGAGCCATACACAAAACAGATCCAACAAACCATAGCATCGAAGTTTGGTCAGCAAACCTTCATGCCACCCACGGTCAAAGGCCTTGGAAATATCAAGCGCAACATCTCTTGACTTTCCATGTTTCTCGATTGCGTTATTCCAAATATGGGTGACATACGATAGAAGGTCGCCTGTTGATATTTGTTTCCGAAAGCCATATTGATGATAGCTCAAGATGTTGAAGCCTTCCAAATATTTGAGGATATGGTGGTTTACAGCTTTCTCCAAGATTTTTGATATCACTGATAGCAAAGGGACTGGTCTATAGTTGTTTAGAAGATATACCTACCTATATTCGAAACAAATAATATTTTTCAATTCATCAAAGTCCCTCAAAAAAGTTCACTGTTTGTCTTGTTGAATTCCAATTTTACCCATTTTGGAATATCCTCAGTAGAGTGTTCTTCATACTGACTCATTATGATCACTCCTGAGGAAATGTTGAAGTTTTGTAAACTGTCCAGTGAAAATCTCACAATGAAGTATTAATTGAATACATTCTGTGTGCTTCTTTTCAGATTCATGATTTGTGAAATCATTAGATTTTTTTTGTCGAATTGCACAATCAGAATTTTGTGTAGTAGGCATATATAAGGAATGCTTTTCATAAAAAAAAAACATGAAACTGAAAGGGTTGAAATATGGATAATATTGAAATGAAACTTACTGCTTCTGATTCCACCCATAAACATGCGATGTATTTCTGAAACAATTCAAAAATTTTTGCATTTTGTCAATGAAATATGTTGAAAAACGTTCACCTTCACTTTCATATCATCTACAAAGTTTCCATGTGCGATGCCTTCAATACTAACTTCGTTTACACCACTTTTAATGATGCATCTGTTGTGTAACATACTGGCTACTTCAAGAAGTTTTTCTCCAAAATCCTGAAGCAATAATTATTTGAATTGTTGAAATATTTGTTAGAATCTATAACATATCAAAATGACAGATGAAAGAGTGATATTTTTTATTATGCCCAATCTGAACGATGCAGTTATTGCTCTGGGGACAGTTAGATTACTCAATTCGTTGCCCCATCATCTTCGATAATATCTACCGCAAATTAAGACGAAATTAACATTCTAGAACATTCTAGACATAGAACATAACATAGAACATTCTAGATACATTCTCATGATGATAATAATAACACGACACTTTTACGGTATTGACGAGACACCGGTGTTGCGACTCGGGAACAAATTGAATCCGTTGTGGGAATGATTCAAGAAGTTTTTCTCCAAAATCCTGAAGCAATAAATATTTGAATTGTTGAAATATTTGTTAGAATCTATAACATATCAAAATAACAGATGAAAGAGTGATATTTTTTATTATGCCCAATCTGAACGATGCAGTTATTGCTCTGGGGACAGTTAGATTACCTACTCAATTCGTTGCCCCATCATCTTCGATAATATCTACGCAAATTAATACGAAATTAACATTCTAGAACATTCTAGACATAGAACATAACATAGAATATTCTAGATAAATTCTCATGATGATAATAATAACACGACACTTTTACGGTATTGACGAGACACCGGTGTTGCGACTCGGGAACAAATTGAATCCGTTGTGGGAATGAGTAATGCCGAATTTATTTGAACCAATCATTCCACTTTCAGGCTCACACATACAAGTTAATACGCCTGATGTAGTTCTTCTCGACCATCAGAGTAAGACGATATTTGTCGTGTAGTTTTCAGCTCCCGGCGTGACAAATATAGTCCGGAAAGTGAAAGAAAAACAGATAGAATATCGAGATTTTCTCTTCGAACTCCACAGACTAAATCCAGACTACTTTGTCAAGATAATTGTTTTCATTATTTGAGTCCTTGGTGGAATGAAGACCTCTATACTCCTATACTCTCGAATCTTATCATGCCGGCTTGCCGCACTAAGGCAGATATCTTAGCCGGACAAATTTAGAAGGCTATCATTTTTGCCTCATTGCGTCTGCTAGGAGCACATGATTTTTGAACCTAATGATTATTTTTGGGAAATGGTCAGTTGTTGATAATGCTGTCGCACCCTCACGAATGTATTGGGGCTTCGAGGACAGGGTCCGATCAGCTTTTCCTTTGGCAGCGAAAAATAATAATGATAATATCAATAATAGTAATAATGAGAAATAATCAGGGTTGGTCATTTCATATCTGAGGCCTTTAGTGAGTTGCGTCACCACTTTCCCGAGCAACTGGTGCAAAACCAGAGTGGCAGCTTATACGCACATGAGAGAGTCTAGAGGACTAACCACCCGGTAGACTCAATATTCTGTTCTTGGAACACAAGGCAGTTGCTTTCACAACCAAGCTGTTCTGAGGGGTCAGAGGCAATGGTGCCCAACCAGATGATTTGTCTAATGATGACGACCGTGACGATATCGGACGCGTTGAGTGAACAAGCAAACTGAAAGCTTGATGCATTGTTATGAAAGTATATTATTGATATTATCATTGTTATATTTTCGCTGCGAAAGGGAAAGCTGATCGGACCCTGTCCTCGAAACCCTAATACATTCGTGAGGGTGCGACAGCATTATCAACGAATGACCATTTCCCACATCGTGAGGTGAATAGGTTAGGTTCGAAAATTATGTGCTCCTAGCAGACGCAATGAGGCAAAAATGATAGCTATCTAGATTTGTTCGGGGGCATATCTGGCGAGAATGCATGCTCTATTATGTGAAATACAACCGGAGCATGCCGCCTTTTCCGCCTAAAATCTAAGGGAGTATGTGTCTTATCTCTATTGGTGAGGTTATTTAGCTACTCCTCAGTTTGCTAACGAAGTGGTGGAAGTGGCAAGTCTATCTCCCGTTGGCTTACTTGAGAAGAAGCATAACGACGCTTCCGGCCGAGCCAATCGGAATGTGCTGGGCGCTCCACAAGATTAAACCCCTGAAACCACAACTGGCTCGAGTTGATGGAAACTGGCAAGTTAACACCGTCATGTAAGACGCCGTTCAAACAATTACTCAGTCGGAAAGGTAGAATACCGCTTCTCCGATTCGGAAACTTACATGGCGATTAAATAAGATGTCGGTGTTTCGTATACAATGTGTGATGAACCGAAGGGCAGCTTATATGACTTACGCCTGCCGTGATGACGAATAGCCTTTAAACTGAGATTGTTAACCACTAAGCAGAATTGCTTTAATAGGATACGAATACTATTGGTTGCTAAAAAGTAAATAGAGGGGTGGAAAATACCAAACTCTGTGGGAATCTTTCTCACTTACTTCAAGAGCCTCCACGTTTTGTAGTTAACCCATCGACTTTTGATCGGGTGGAATCCATCTGAAAGGATATTTATGAGTATACGCAATCACCCAACCTAGACAATCAAGTCCTAGCGCACTTCCAAACTTCTGTTCAGAGCTTCTACAGCCTGAACAGAATGGACTCTACAAACCAAAACCCACCAATGAAACTCAAAGAGCCTTTTCGTGTTCTGAAAATTGTAATGCTCCGATCCCGGATGGAATAGATACTTATTGGAAGAAAAACTATTGAGTACCCACCCCTACTTGACGAAAATTTTCAATTCATGGTTATGTACCGGTATCTTATATGCAAGAAAACTTTCTGTAGTTGACCCAGTATTTCAACGGATCGTGACCATGAGAAAGCAGGAGTCCGAGCATTTTTTTTTGAAGCAAGCTGTCTGAGCAGCCGGTTTTTATCTTCGACAATGAAAGAGGTTTCCACAACTCTGTCATTAAGTTAGAACCCACATCAACAACACAGTAATCAGGTTATTCCTACAGGTATGCGAGAATAAACCAATCCATGGGGTTTTCTTCAACAAATTGAAGACCTTGATTTATCGGTTTGCTTTTCTCCGGCTCTTCGAATTGGCTCAGGTCATAGAAACTACTGACGGCTGACTTGCGACTGAAAATAGTTAAAACACAACTGTAAAGTTATGAATTTGCTCATCTGTGATTGGCCTTGAAAGTAGTGAGCTATGAATTTAGTCAAATGTTGCTCTCTTACCCAACAATAAAGGTCACATAGTTAACGGTTTTTCCAAAAGTCTTTTTTATTCAGGCCTAATTCATCGATAAAGAAAAAAAAGCTCTCGCGAACTAGTAAATAAACTTATTTTATGTTTCAACATTGGGTTAGCATCAATTTTTTTTACAATCTAGTTCTACTTTGCAGTTTATGTTACTTATAAATCAATAAATGTCACATGGACTGCGGTATGTTGAATCTTTTAGGTACATATTTGTACTGTAACCTACTTAAAATAAAAAATGGACAACTGAACTTTACAAAAAATAATGTCCACTTCCGATTTTTTTTTTACAAATATATTGACAGAGACCAATGGAAAAGTTATAAAATTATTTGGCAGGCAAACTACAATTTTTTGCCAGTTGACATCTTGTTATATTGTTGAATAAATTGTTCAATTTAGTGATTCCACCACATATTTAAGTAATTTTAAAAACTCATTCGAATTGCCCAGATATATTACGGATCGACAAAATAAGTTCTTTGAGAGACTGAAATGATAATATAATGTTTATCAAATTAATAATGTTTTCTTTCATTACTTTTTATGTTACCAACGGAAATAAGGTTGTTGTTGGAAAAACTACTTTTCGTCTTTACAATCTTTGCAAGTCTTTCGACTCATTTTATGATGCAAATAAATATTTATTAAATTGAACAAACCTCTCTACTCAAAAGTGCCACAACTGATTGTGAGATTGTTAAAATCACTACTAGACTTGAAATTAACCTGAACATATTGGAATATCATCAATTACATTCACTTATTTACTGACACCTTCCAGGTAATAGGTGACCTATATATACGAGTGCATATAATATCTATTGATTATTTTGTTGTTGCTTGCAGTTTAGAGTTCATTTTTTCGAAGTAAAAAAACTATTTCAACCAACATATAATTTATTGATCTCACCTTCAATCATAATCACTATTCATTATTGCATTTATGCAATGGTTGCATTCATGCAATAATGAATCAATCCATGACAATAATTGAACAATTTTCACAAACATTTTTTATTTGCGTTTCCCTAACTCCATCAGAGGTTCCATCTAAGGAGGCCACTTCTTTGTCTGATATAGATTGCTTGGTTCTGATTGTGGGGGATTTCAATATACATTTCTCAGCAAACACCACCTACAGCAAACGATTGGGGGAAATTACCTCTGATATGGGCTTCATGCAAGTTATTGATGATATTACTCATCCTACTGACAATGGTGGAAGTATTATAGATCTGGTGATTACTAACAGGAATATTTCNTGGAAGTATTATAGATCTGGTGATTACTAACAGGAATATTTCAGCTCATATACACAAAACTCCAAAAATAAGTGATCATTATTTAATTACACTTAATTTAAACAATGATAAAGACCAAACACCATACGAATATTGTATATACACTAGAGGCAAAATTAATTACGATGATATAAATAATGAGCTGGCGAAGGTAAATTGGGTATATCATCATGATAATGTAGATGAGAAATGCCAGTATCTGACAGGTATTATGAAAGAATGTTTGGATAAAGCAGCTCCAAAACAGGAAAAAAATAATTAAACCGGAATATAAAGAATGGTGGAATGATACAGTTAGAAATGCGGTGGTATTCAGGGATAATAAATACAAACTATATAAGAAATCAAAACAGATTGAAGACAAAAAAAACTACAAACAGGCCAGAAATAATGTGGTGAAAGTTATTAGAGAACAAAAATCAATATTTTACAAGGACAAAATAGATAATTGTAGTGGTGACCCCCAAAAAATGTGGAAAACACTGAAACCTTTGCTGTCACCAAAAGAAAGAACAAAATTCACCAAGTTAGAGATTGACAATGAGGAGGAAGTAGATATTAATATGATTCCTGATAAACTCAATACATATTTTGTAGAAAGTATCAATAAATTAGTAGAAGAAATACATATTGAGACACAAGATGAAATAAGGATACAAAACACTGCAAAAGAACATTTGAGTGATTTCAAAATGATTAGTTTTGAGGAGCTACATGATATATTGTTGACAATGAAAAATAAAGGTAGCGATGATGATCTAACAACGGAATTCTTAAAAAACGTATATCATAATATAAAAGGCCCGTTATTAAACCTTGTCAACTATTCCCTACACACCGGTACATTTCCATCTATGCTGAAAGTATCAACAATAATTCCAGTTCCAAAAGTAAAGAATACAAGTAAAGCCAGTGATATGCGACCAATAAATACTTTGTTGGCAATAGAAAAACTAATTGAGAAAGTTGTCTATGTATAAATGTTAAATTTTTTAAATATTAATAATATTCTAACTGAAAATCAATCAGGTTTTAGAACTGGGCATAATTGCGAAACAGCAGTGCAAAGTGTTTTATTTGACTGGAAAATGTGGACAGATCAAAATATGAATGTAGGAGCAGTTTACTTAGATTTGAAAAGAGCCTTTGAGACAGTAATTAGGAAAAAACTCCCGCTTAAATTGAGAAATTATGGAATATCCGGTACAGTCTATAAATGGTTTGAAGATTACCTAAATAGTAGAAAAGTAACAAAACTTAATAATGTAACGTCCTGTGAAATTGTCAATAACAACGGAGTACCTCAGGGCAGTACACTAGGACCACTCTTATTCCTAATATATATAAATGATAATTGTTAATGAGGTAGACAAGTGTAAAATTCATCTCTTTACTGATGACACACTTGTATATTACTGTGCACATGATGTGGAACATTTGATAGATACAATGAATAGTGAACTACAAAAAATAAGTCGGTGGTGTAGTTATAATGTATTGAAATTAAATGGTAATAAATCAAAATTCATGTTATTTACTAATAAAACGGGATATCATGAACTTGAAAGCAGACATTTAAATATCCATATTGATAATATAAAAATAGAAACCGTTAGTGCGACGAAATATCTTGGAGTCTCAATTGATAGAGGCTTAACATTCAAAGAACACGTACAAGATAAAAATTATCTCAAGAAATGTTAGCTTTCTAGGAAGGATTTCGTCAACACTTACAAAATCTACAAAAATTATAATATATAACACACTTATATTACCACATTTTACATTTTTTGCATCGATAATATATACTGCCAATAAAAATAAAATGGATAGATTACAAAAACAGCAAAACCGAGCCATGAGGATCATATTAAGAAAACCAAGAGAGACACCAATCAAAGCAATGCTGAAGGAATTGCAATGAATGGCTGTGACAGATCTCATATATTACTATACAATGATAATGATATATCTGTTTAAAATCTGTTTTTCCGTTAACCAGCTGTCGCACCCCTACGAACGACAACCCTCAGAAGTCGAAACTTGTGCGAGCTAAGGATTAACGAGGTCTTACCTTTTAACTTGTGATTCCTAACACATGAATAATCACCTATCATCAACATACCTGAGTAGGCATATTGAATACAATGAGAATCATCATCACTATAATACAAGAACGCGTAATAACATATATGTAGGAGTTAAAAATAAAAAATGTACTGAGAAATCCATTTACCATGCAGGAATGGTAAATAGTTTGAACAAAAATATTAAAGAATGTAGCACTCTTGCATTATTCAAAAGAAAGTTGAAGAGTCATCTATTGGGTGAATGAACTAGTTTTTATATAATATAAACTTTTTTTTGTATTCTATATTTGTATTTTGTATGTGTTTTATATTGACTAACAACTGTGATATTTTAAGTAGATGTTGTATATTTATTGCAGTACTCATACTTTTATTCCTGAATTTAGTTGAATAACAACATTGTGGTGACGTATTTGATTATAGATGTATTGTATTAGCAGTTTCATTGCTAAATAAAGGATTTATATATAAACAGATAAGTACTTTTTGATTATTTAAATTTGTGAGCCACCGGTAGACAGCTGTTTCAGACTATTGGGCATCGTCAGTACCGGACTGGCGGTCCTCGATTGAAGACAAAATGAGAAAAGCCAAGAAAGTACTTGATAAAAATAGCTGCCTAAATGCAAGCGAAACATAAGTGGAACCACCTATTGGTGTGACACCCAAGTCAACTTGCCAAGCTTTTATGTCAGTGTTGGTGGTTTGAGCAAAAAACCGACAACTGCTGTAGCAGAAATTTGGGAAGCTAACCTGAAATGCCATCGGAAAACGAATCCACATGTTTCTAGAAATTATATGAAATCTAGAAAGGTAAATGCAGTCGAGCTACTGAAATATTTTCCAGCAGCTTGGCAAGTTGACTTGGGCGCCACACTAATAGGTGATTCCACTTATGTTTCGCTTGCGTTTACACATATTTTTATCAAGTACTTTCTTGGTTTTTCTCATTTTGTCTTCAATCGAGGACCGCCAGTCCGGTACTGACGATGCCCAATAGGCTGAAACAGCTGTCTACCGGTGGCTCTTAAATTGAAATCAATATGGGAATTTGTTTGATTTTCATGGAAATATTTTCCAGCAGCTAGACTGCATTTACCTTTCTAAATTTCATATATATATATATAATGTTGGTACACTCGTCTCCAACATATGTTCACAGCGTTAGCTGTTTAGCATGTTCAGCTTGTCAGTGAGAGGCATAAAATAAGTGTTTTAGGTGTTCGAAGATTTTCTGATATCGAAAAAAATAGATCATAAAATTTGTATCAAATTTTGTATAAAAAATGGAATTAGGTGCTCAAAAACACCTGAAATGTTGATAGTGGCATCCGGTGATTGTATTCTTGAGTCAGAAAAATGTTTAAATGTGGTACAAGCTTTTCACAGAGTGTGGAGAAGATGTGAATGACGACACTCACCCTGGACGCCCCTGCACATGTCGGCATATCGGTTGGCTCATGCCATGTATTTTTTTGTAAATTTTGGGCATGAAGTGTGTGGCAGCGAATTCGTTCCAAAATTGCTGAATTTGACAAAAAAAAGTCACATGAGCATCTCTGAGGAATTGTTGAATGACGTCAACGGGGATCCAGATTTGCTTGAAAGGGTCATAACTGGTGACGAATCATGAGTATGTGGTTATGACATTGAAACCAAAGTCAAATCGTTCAATTGGAAGAACCCAGGAGAGCCAAGACAAAAAAAGCACTCCAAGTTTGATTAAATGACAAGGTTTTGCTCATTGTTTTCTTCAATTACTGTTGCATAGTGCATCAGGAGTTCTTGCCACATGATTGTATGGTCAATAAGGAATATTACCTTGAAGTTATGCGCCGCTTGCGAGAAGCAATACTAAGAAAACGTCCAGTACTGTGAAAAAACAATTTATGGCTTTTGCAATACCATAATCATGCCCCAGTCACAGTATTCACCAAATTTGGCTCCCTGAAACTTTTCTTGTTCACAAGATTGAAGAAACTCATGAAAGGATTACGGTTTGCGACGATTGAGGAGATAAAACCCAAATCCCGAGAGAGCCCAAGGACATACAAAAAAGTTCATATAAGAACTGCTTCACGAATTGGCACAAGTGTTATTATATCTGAGAGAGAGACTACTTTGAAGGAGACAAAATAGAATTGGATGAATAAATATTTTTTGAGAAAAATGAAAATTCACCTTATTTTTTGTATAGTACATAATCCTATCTACAATTTTCAGAGTTTACAAAAGAAAACAATTAAATAATCTACAGATTAAAGAATGCTAACTTTCATTGCCGGAGAAAATTGTCAAAGCAATTTTTCGGGTCTTTGGTTATGGTTTGCAGGTTGTTACGCCTGACGTTTCGTGTTCTACTGCGGTATCAAGGCAGTGAGGTAACTGTCGAAGTGCTCGAGAAATTCTTAACGTAGAAACTCATGTTTCAGAAAACAATAAAAATAGGTTTGGCACAATCAACAGAATGCCTATAGAGAAATGTTTTTAATTATGAAGAAGTCTTACCTTGTCCTGCTCCCAAATGGCCCATGTTTCTTATTTGTGGAGGAGGCATACTTTGTCCAGGAACCTGATTAGGAGTGACTTTGCCATAACCGACATGTGGAGCTTGTTGCCTAGCAGCTTCCTCTTGCACTTGTTTGACGACTTGAAGTACATTCGCTGGTGGGGTATGTGTACCTGGCTTCGAACCAATACCTGCTTGATGTGGAGCTTGAATACCCATTGATGGATTGGGTAAACCTTCAATTCAAAAAGCATATAATCAAATAGATGAAAACGGTAAGTTCAAAATAATATATTATACTGTATTAATTTATGCATTAATTTATTCCGATTCAAAACTATTCGACCTACTACGTTTACAACGTAACATTTTTAGAGAAAGTTCTTGAAAACCCCAAAACAAGTAACATATATTTCTTAGAAACGAACTACAGAATGACACATTTAGAAACTAGCATAAGATATACAAGCCCCCATTCTAAAGAGTTGTACAAGTTGGTGCGAAGTACTTAAGTTATCACTTATTCAGTGATGTACATATATCTATTAATATTGAGGTAGAATTGGTACCTCTGTAACAAAATGTATCTGGTGAAAATGTTCTTATATGTGAAAAATATTTTAATTAAATTTATGAAAAGGTGAAAATTGTGAAATATTGCCTTTTACTGTCACTAAGAGTATTCTAAAAAAGGTAATATGTTAGTAGTAAACTGTATTCCTCTAAATTTTTTTTATATTTTCTTTGAGAAACTTCTGATATCTCCACTTGATATCCAGATAGCTGTAATATTATATCAATACTAATTTGACTAGGTAAAGTGGAAATCTTATAATTACTGTTGTGATTAGGAATAATTACCCACCCACATAACAGGATATATATAGTACATACTTCAATAATCGACTTTGTATGTAGTAAATTAGATAAATATTTCACATCATGAACTATAGCTTCCCCAGGAATACCAGATCATGAAGTTGTTTTATTCAGCATACATTGGTTAAATCAAAAACAGCAAAATATTCAAGTATGGAAGACTATACAATGAAAATAAATAACACTATCCATGACATTCAAACAATTTTCACAAACATTTTTTATTTCTAGATGCATTTGGCTAACACTGTAGCTTCCTAATTGTTATCATCAATCCTTCTATATCTGCTTATCACCATTTTTCATGAATAATGTCCTTATTAAAAAGTCAAGATTAAACAAAGTGGCTTATCAAGAGCTCTTGTATTACTTAATCACATTAAAAAAAGTTCACTAACGATTCTTTTTATAACTGCTTTCAGAGGTGAACAAAAACAAATAGAATCTTCAATACTGATAAATAATATAAATCATTATTATTTTTCTTCAAAAGCTGAGTTGGGATTAATAATATTGTAGTTCCATATGACATACTGATTAATTTAGATACTGCTGAGTTTCAAGTAGTGAAACATTCATTAAAAAACAAAACAATATCTAAAATTAACGAATTATAAATTAAGATTCTGGAAAATATTTCTGTTTCTGCTCTAGATTCATTAGCAGAGTCAATTTCAAACTGGGATGTTTTCTTCGTTTCTAAAAACTTCCATTAAAATCCCTCTCTATAAAGATGATTTCTTCACTTGCCAAAATTATGAAAATGTTTTGTTAAAATTAAAATTTGCGTAACAGAATTTTTATATGTTACAGAAATAACTTCAAGCAAAAATACTCATTTTTTCATTTTTAAAAGAAGTCTATAATTTAGTGAAAGGGGACAGCAGTCTCTTCTGCAATTTTTTCAAAATTTTTGAGTGGGAAAATGATCCAAGTTTTGCCTAGAAAACTGTATCATCATATAATCGAGGAATTTATTAATAAATGATCATATCTAACTGGCAGAAGTCAAGTGATTAAATCTTTCACTTTATCTGATATCTCTCATTTAACTAACGGAGTACCACAGGGTCCGATATTGGGTTCCAGTCTATTTCTTTTTTACATCAAGAACTCAACAACCATTGACGTCGTAGAGGTTTCATTCACTTTATTTGCAGATGACACCACAATATTGAGGCATAATAGCAATCACAGTGACAAAATCAATAAAATCACAAATCCGTGTAATGCAAATCTGTTATTCAATATTTCAAAAACCATTAATTGAACATATAACTCGACGAAAAAAGTTAAACATTAATGGAGTTTTTTGGTTTGACAAATGTCATACGTTCACATAAATGTCATTTTTCAATGGGCATGATGATTTGATAATCTTTGACTCTAAAGGGAAAGTTGATTGATACAATTTTCATTATTAGGTATCAATATGAGTTTTGGTATAGTTCCAGAAAGTTACTGTATATACTGAAAATACGTTTTATCGTCGAGTAAAAAACTATCGTGGGGATGGTATGCAGTAAGAATAACATACTCATCTAGAATCTAATATTTTACGCTTGAGAAAGCTATTGTATAGCGAAACACGTATCGCGGTTTTTGTAAAACCCTTCATAGTGAAAAATCATACAATAAACTGTATTAATGAGTTTCACATTTGACTAAGTTTCTACAATACTTGCTTTTTCAATGAGGGTAACTCTATGGACATGAAGCATATTTATTATCGTTACTATCTTTCAACAGACGTTATTCTACTAATCATCTTGTGAAACACATCAGATTGTTCCATGAAATGCACAAGAAGTGATTTCACTTGTTCTAGAGTTCTAATAAACAACGCACAGATGTGTATACAGGGTAGGTTAGAGAGGTACAAGTCATAAAAAGATGTTAAGTTAGGAGTTTTAAATTTCACGTAGTAAGGTAGCCGGTATCTATCCTTCACCCTTTTAATGAAGATATTTTGACAAAAAATGAAATCCATACGCACCAGTATTCATAGTGCTAGCAGGACTAACCGAACCTGGCAGTACTGACTGCACCACGCCTCCACTCATTGGCACATTGGTAGCACAAGGAAGAGCATTTGTCGAGTTTGTCTTGGACATTACTGCCATCCTCCTTCTGAGCAATTGTGCTTGTTGCAATCTCTGTTGTAACTGTTGTTGTTTGAGCTTGTGTTTTATATTCGAACAGAATGGGACGGGGCATTTGGTTTCTTGGCAGTGTTTAGCGTGATAACAACACAGTGCAATAAGTTGTTTACAAATAGGGCAACCTCCGTTCGTTTTTCTTTTGCACACCTTCGTATGCGTTACCACACGTTTCATCTTCTGACAGCTTGGCAAACGGCAGTTTGCATCTCGGCATTGACAAGCGTGCACCAATGACTGAATACACCGCTAAAATAAACATTTTCAATTGAATAACAGGAAACAAAAACAACAGAATATAAATTACCTGAATAGACAATTTTCTTGCTTCGCCAGGATTGGCTTTGCTGTCTGTTGGCGAACTGCCATCGTCTATGTCTAACCCAAGTTTCACCATCTTATGAGGATGGCCATCTTTCTCATAACAATGAATGCACAAGTCAAAATCTTCACAAAATGTACAATGATATCTAGTTTCCACATGTGCTTTACAGTTGTTGCAAGTATATACAAATTTATCTTGTCCTTGGTTATGTAATTCATACAGCATGGACATTGTGCTGTATTTTGCTCGTCTTAAAGATGAAAACTCGTAATGTTTTTCCCGGGCAAGCGTTAAAAACGCGTCCCGTCCGTCCATGAGATCACAGTTGATAAAAGGATCAGGGTCTTGAATTGGCTGAAAAATCAGAAATTATCTTCAGTATAACAAAAATCTTGGTACAGACCATAATGTTACACAGATAATATATAATTATTTATTGAAATTCCACTACCCCGCAAAATAAAACTGATTTAAAACATGTAACTTACCTTCAAGCTGGCAGCTGATTGAACAGAATGTAATCTAATAACGAAGAATACTTCTTTATGCTTTTCCATTGTGGCAAATATTTTTGCAGACAAATCATTACCATTTTGAGGAGCATTTGATTTCTTACTATTTTTTCTTTGATTTGCCTTCGATTTTGTGTTCTTTTTAGCCTTTTTCTGTCCTTTTTTCTTTCCATCAGGACCCACCTCATTTTCTTCCAGGGATGAAAATATCTACAAGAAACAATAATTATTGAACTGATATAAAAATAAACTAGAAAGACAATTTCAAAAAAGTTGATCAAAATTTATAACCTAATATATGTTTTATGTAGGGATTATAAAGCTAGTTAAAATCTGCTTATCACCATTTTTCATGAATAATGTCCTTATTAAAAAGTCAAGATTAAACAAAGTGGCTTATCAAGAGCTCTTGTATTACTTAATCACATTAAAAAAAGTTCACTAACGATTCTTTTTATAACTGCTTTCAGAGGTGAACAAAAACAAATAGAATCTTCAATACTGATAAATAATATAAATCATTATTATTTTTCTTCAAAAGCTGAGTTGGGATTAATAATATTGTAGTTCCATATGACATACTGATTAATTTAGATACTGCTGAGTTTCAAGTAGTGAAACATTCATTAAAAAACAAAACAATATCTAAAATTAACGAATTATAAATTAAGATTCTGGAAAATATTTCTGTTTCTGCTCTAGATTCATTAGCAGAGTCAATTTCAAACTGGGATGTTTTCTTCGTTTCTAAAAACTTCCATTAAAATCCCTCTCTATAAAGATGATTTCTTCACTTGCCAAAATTATGAAAATGTTTTGTTAAAATTAAAATTTGCGTAACAGAATTTTTATATGTTACAGAAATAACTTCAAGCAAAAATACTCATTTTTTCATTTTTAAAAGAAGTCTATAATTTAGTGAAAGGGGACAGCAGTCTCTTCTGCAATTTTTTCAAAATTTTTGAGTGGGAAAATGATCCAAGTTTTGCCTAGAAAACTGTATCATCATATAATCGAGGAATTTATTAATAAATGATCATATCTAACTGGCAGAAGTCAAGTGATTAAATCTTTCACTTTATCTGATATCTCTCATTTAACTAACGGAGTACCACAGGGTCCGATATTGGGTTCCAGTCTATTTCTTTTTTACATCAAGAACTCAACAACCATTGACGTCGTAGAGGTTTCATTCACTTTATTTGCAGATGACACCACAATATTGAGGCATAATAGCAATCACAGTGACAAAATCAATAAAATCACAAATCCGTGTAATGCAAATCTGTTATTCAATATTTCAAAAACCATTAATTGAACATATAACTCGACGAAAAAAGTTAAACATTAATGGAGTTTTTTGGTTTGACAAATGTCATACGTTCACATAAATGTCATTTTTCAATGGGCATGATGATTTGATAATCTTTGACTCTAAAGGGAAAGTTGATTGATACAATTTTCATTATTAGGTATCAATATGAGTTTTGGTATAGTTCCAGAAAGTTACTGTATATACTG